TGTGAAAATTAGTTCTTGTCACTGGCTTAGGGATTGGTATCCCCCTCTCCACGTTTATATTTTAATGCTCCAAGTATACACTACACAGTACACACCCCTGTGGCCACGCATAAAAGTAAAGGAATTCTGTGAACAGTATAAATGTAACCTTGCTTTTACATTGAGAATTATTTAAAACTAATCATTTCAATTTATTTTAAAACGTTGCGTAATATACTGACCAGTACAGGTGCATTCAATTCAGTTTAGTTGTATTTTAATGAATCTTTTAACATTTTTTCTTGGATGAAACAGTTTTGTGGATTTTCTAAAATTGGAGAAAATTTTGTGTAATTCTTATCATTCATAAACCATCCCTGGGGTCATGTGAAGTCTCACACAAAATTTGGGCCCGATCGGTTTATCCTTTTTGACGTTTATTGGACACAAACAGACAAACAAACAAACAGTCAGAAAAGCAGAGTAAATAAATAGATAGAAGATAGATGCTCCTATTTAATTATTGCAAATATATTTTTAAGGTTAATTCAACTTTGATTTGATTCAGTCAAAATTTGATTTGATTTTTTAAATTTGATTTATTTTAGGCAATCATCCTCTTTATCCTGTCTGCTCTGAAGCAAGAGAAGGAAGGAGAAACCCACAGTGCCTTTAATATATACGATCAAACACTGAGGTATTATTATTTATAATGAAAACAATGTTTAAAGGGACTATTTACGTAATTTTCGAGTGACCCTCATGTGCCTTTTTAAAGAATTAAAGGTCTGATTCACAACGGTACCCTTTAAACCTTGGTTTTATTAACGACGGGGGGGGGGGAGTCCGTCACAGGTAGCGGCCAAACTCTGTTAGTCGCGAATGCCGCAATAAATTATAAGGAAAGAGAGATATTTTAGGGTAAGGTGAGATTTAGACACTTTCTTGGCCCCGCGCTGCGGCTCGGATAGGCTAGGGGCCGAGCGCCTCGGCTAGGACAGGCTAGGAGGTCAAGCGCCATGGCTAGAACTGGCTCTCTTGTTTTATAATTCATTGCGGCATTCGCGAGTAATACAGATGGGCCTCTGCCTCCGTCACACGGTTCCCAAGTGTTAGCTCGAAAAATGCGGATTTCTCCGTATTCAATTATCAGACAAATTGTTAAAAGGGTACCGTTGTGATTTAGACATGCCACTTTATAAATAAAAACTGAAACAGACTTTCTTAGGTCGAAAAAAAATGCTGGCCATGTATTAAATTAGGGTGACCCTTTTTGCAGGAAATAAAAAAATATTGCACCACAAATACCTAACAGTCTAATAGTGTTCTCTATGATGTCAGTTATTGCAGGATTTTTTTTTTATTGATTAAGGTCAATCGGAAGGGGTCGTGCAAGGCCCGTGAAGATCGTAAAAAAGTCTGCATAGCTTAAAAATATATATCTTGAATTTATCATGTCTAGAATCATTTTCTTCGTAATTGTCTGAAAAGATTAAATCCATTTAAAATTTTAAAATATTTCAAAAATTGACTGAGATAGGTTTAAAAAAACCTCCAAAAGTGTACTTTTCCTATTAACAAGCATTTCTGACGGGTTTTTGATTTTTAAAATTTTTAATTTTTAAATTTTTTCAATACTATTAGACAATTACGAAGAAAATGTTATATTACATGATAAATTCAGGAAATTTTTTTTTGAGCTATATAGACTTTTTGCGATCTGCACGGGCCTTGCGCGACCAATTCCCATTGACAAAGATCAATAAATATTCCTGTGATAACTGACATTATACAGAACAATATTAGACTGTTCTTGTGGGAAATCAGATGCAAAATCAGTCTAAAAAAAATGTAAACATAAAATAATAATCAAAAGTTTATTTTATGCTATTTAACTCATCTGACCAATTACATACAAAAATATTTTATTGTAGAAACATTTTGTTAAAATTGTTAATTATTACCATCTTTAACTGAACATAAAGTCAACGTCATTATTGGCGTAAATGTAGGATAAATGACCTTGATTGATTGATTGATTGTTAAGGTTGATAAAATACGTGATGAAGCCGATGTTATCTAAGAAAAGCTCTGAAAAGTCGAGGGAGAAGAAGTTTCCCCCACCTCCTCTTTCTAGGTAATATTCCCCCCCCCCCCCCCCCTCNGGGGGGGGGGGGGCTCAAGCGCTTTTAGCTTAAAGTAAACAACCCTCCTCTGTGCTCCAATCATAAAGGATACTACCCTCTTTTACACTGTATATACACTTTTAAGCGTTCTTGGCTTAAAATAGTGCTAGCTTGGGAACTCGGCGTTGCCCAGGGTAGTCTTAGTTAGTCCTGCCGTTTACCTGCGCATTGTCGTAAATTACGATTTTAGATCAACTTGAAATCTTAAAATCAAGCTGAAAACATTCCTGTTGTTCTCCCAGGTTCCCCAATCAAAATTTGAGGCATCTCGGTCCAGGAGTTCCTGGGTTATGATCGGACAATCAAACAGACGGACAAACAGAGATTACAACTTTATATATGTAGAATAAATATCCACCCCCCCCCCTCTCACCAATCTAATTGAGTGCTGGTTCCAGGCTGTTGGTGATGTCTATGAGAGCACAGAGTCTTCTTAACCTCAAGATGTACAAACTCAAGAAGCATGAGCTCAAGGAGCTACAGAAGACTATCAGTGATGTTCTCAGCAAGTCAGATAAAGACGAGGACAACCAGCAGGTATAATACAACCCATGGGACAATGGCGTATATTCCCCCCCCCCCCCCCCCCGTCAGGATAGTTTATCAAACAAAACTTGTAAAACATAAATATTGTATATTCTTGTACTCTTCATATGATACCAAATTAAAATGGAGTTTTAAGGGCCAAATAAATTAATTTAAAAATATTTTTACTGAACTTTATGATTTCAGCTTTTGGGAGTCATCTTTTTAGTGTAAAAAAGTCGCATTGGGTTTCTTAATGTTAAAAACTGGGGTATATTTTGCATTTCTAAATAAGGAACAATCCCTTTGAAAAGCGTGTATAACAAATTATATTATATTTAGGTTGAAAATCCTCATATCTCTCCTACCCCAAGTCCTGCAGGGAGCGAGGGTAGTAATAGTAGCAAGGTTAGTTACAACATTATATCTAGTTGCTCGTGAAATTTTCAAATTTTGTATAACCCTATAAAAACTGGGGGTCTGAATCTATGTATAGCCTGGGGGGAGGGCGTTCCACGCCCTCCCCCTAGAAAAGGGCCTTAGAGAATAGATATTGGGTTAAATTGCATGTTCATAGTCCAATTTTTCATATTTCATAGCCACCTCATTGAAAAAAAATTAGACCGAATAGTTTGGGTGCTAGGTAGGATTCAAAAAAAAAAGTCACACAATTTCACGGTGTCCAAAATGAGAATGCTAGGACAAACAAAACTAGAGGGGGGCGTCGAACGCCCCTCCCCCCCCCAGTCTGTTAAGGTTTAACCTATGTTATCCCCCTCGTACCCATGGGAGCCCTAAAAAATGTCAGCTAATTTGATACAGCCTTTTGGCCAGCTATAGTGATTAGCAATATCATACAAATAAATAAAAATGTAAATGAGCAAAGAGCTTGAATATAGATTTATTTTTTAATATTTAAATTTTGCCTGTTTATTTTGAAATTTTAATTGGTGTAATTTGTTCTGATACATTTACATCGATTATATTTATGATGTGAAAGTTATAAGTTTCGAGAGGAAGGACGGGGGGGGGGGGTGATTCTTCTTTGTCATTAATTGTTAAAATCTAAACGCATGCAACTGTTTTTTAAACATTTTTTAGACATTAAACTTGCAATATGTTTAAAACATGAAGATGATTCATGTTAGTTCAAATCATTTTTTATTATTATTGTTTATTTTGGCTTCATCATTTATTAATCTTTAAAACCATAAATTAGACATCGTTTACTTTTAGTCAAGCGGATATACAAGTAGTGGAGAAGGGCGTGTCCACGGTGTGCTGACTCCGCCCACCCTGCCTCCTGTCTGCCTCTCCCTACCTAAGAAAACTCTGCAGAGACAGTTTAATATTGCAAGTTACCTCTCTCAATGCCATGAACTCTGGGAGCAAGCAGATTTATATATAGACAGAGGCAGCTGTATAGGTAAACCATACTTATTAAAGGGAGTGACCGGCAATGTATGGTGGTTGAACTGAGATTGCAGTATTGTGGAGAAATTTTTGAGGATTTCTTTGAGACATATTAAACGTTTTGAAAATATATAATTACTGAGTTTGAGCGCAAATTTGACGTTCAAAATGATCAAATTGGGTGGTTACGTTTTAGGAATCGTTTTTTAATATTAGATAAAGTATAAATTATACAGTAAACTAATTAGTTGTTTAGGATCATATTTCTCAAAAGAAATTTGTCAATAAATCAATGTTAGAATCAATTGTTTCGTTTTTTGATTTTCTTATTTTCTATGAATTTGTTCGCAGATTTCTACAAATTCTTCACATGTCGTCTTTTCAATAAAAATTCCAGAAAACATGCAGAAAATCTTTATGAATAATAGAGCAAATTGGAAAAGATCAATTTTCCGAGAGAGAAACAAGAAAATCTAATTTTTACACAGAAAAAGATTTAAAGGGTACCGTTGTGAATTTGGTATGTCTCTATTAGAACGGTGGACCATAAAAATAAGTCGGCTGTTCATGTTTTTGTTCATGGAACTGTATTTTATGTAAGCTTTTCTTTTTCTGTTAATATTTATGATTTTGGTTCCTGTTTCTATTCATGATTTTGGTTCCTGTTTCTGTTTAAATTCATGATTTTGGTTCCTGTTTTGTTTATTTTTATGATTTTGGTTCCTGTTTCTGTTTATATTCATGATTTTGGTTCCTGTTTCTGTTTATATTCATGATTTTGGTTCTTTTTTCTGTTTTTATTTATGATTTTGGTACCTGTTTCTGTTTATATTTATGATTTTGGTTTCTGTTTATATTCATGATTTTGGTTCCTGTTTCTGTTTATATTTTATGATTTTGGTTCCTGTTTCTGTTTTTATTTATGATTTTGGTTCCTGTTTCTGTTTATATTTATGATTTTGGTACCTGTTTCTGTTTATGTTTTAGGTTCCTGTTTCTCTTTTTATTTATGATTTTGATTCCTGTTTCTGTTTATATTTATGATTTTGGTTCCTGTTTCTGATCGTGTTTTTACTTTCGCATTTGTCGTATTATTTTTCACGTTATTGTTTTCAATACAAATATTATTTTCTAGAATTTTTCCTCCGTCTTGATGAAGAATGCGGAGTATTGAATCTACACTCTACTCTCTACCACCTTGTCATGTATACTAGGAAGGGTCTAGAGTATATATCACAGGTATTATTATGATTATTATCATTTAACCTACAGTCATGTTTTCATGTCATGTATGTTACGTTGAGGTCCAGGGTTGAGCTCCTCGCCACTCAGTTTGGGTTAATATGATTCATATCCTACTTTGAATGGTTTGAATAAGATTGAGCACGTATTGATGTGTATTATGTTGGTTTGTTTTTCCCCTTTATTTTCTTTCTGATCAAAAATTGACGTAGTGTAAAAAAGCAATTGGTAATTATCCAATTTTGATGGAATTTATTACACTAATATTTCCCGTTTTTGGGTGATTAAGTGACTTTATCGTCATTCAACAGGGAGAAAAAGTAACTTTTTCACCCTGCTATTAAAATTTCAAACATACCTAATTTGTCTCATTGTAGGGTGATAAAGTAACTTAATCACCCTATAACAGGGTGATTAAGTAACTTTATAGACCTGCTTTTAAATAATTTGAGTAAAATTGAATAAAACTATATATGTTATTGAAATGGGTATTATTGAGTGCGAAAAAGTTTTTGCTGTGATTTTTAATTTTTCTAGTTTGTTTTCGATCAAAATTAAAATTCCGGCAAAAACTTTTTTGCACTAATATACACTACAATGACATAAATAGATATTACAAATTGTTAATTATAAACATTGACTTTTCTTACTTTATGCCAAAATTTGACCCTGACAGAAAACACAACCCAAAATAAATACGGTCGTTTTTGGACGGTTTTACCATTTTCTGAAGGATATCAATATTACAAAGTTTAATAAAAGAGCAGTTTCGAAATCTTAGATGTTTTATAAAAAGTTTTATAAAAAGTTTCATATAAAGTTTTATAGAAAGTTTTATAAAAAGTTTTATAAAAATTTTTGGACGGTTTTACCATTTTCTGAAGGATATCAATATTACAAAGTTTAATAAAAGAGCAGTTTCGAAATCTTAGAAGTTTTATAAAAAGTTTTATAAAAAGTTTTATAAAAAGTTTTATAAAAAGTTTTATAAAAAGTTTTATAAAAAGTTTTATAAAAAGTTTTATAAAAAGTTTTTAAAAAGTTTTATAAAACGGTTAGCAACACTATTCACAGGTAAGACGAAAAATCAATAAAAAATTTGTTTACAGTGCAAAAACGCTATTATTAACTAGATCCCTAATATTCAGGCTCTTTAGATTCAAATAAATAACTAAATTACAGCGAAATACACAAACAAAATACTATTTATGAAATTTTTTTTAATAAATTAGAGTATTTAATTTTATCCCCTTTTTGATTTCAGCCTTTTTAAGGATTTTGTTGATTTCAGGAGCTTCCCGTCTCTCATAGGAGTCCTTTGAATCCTCGCAGTTCATAGGTTTTAAACACAACCTCAATTCATGAAGTTCAGAAAATATATCAGTCTAACCAGACTACAGTTCAACCAGACTAAAGTTATTCCAACCAGACTAAAGTTTCGTTCAACGTGAATATTGAATACCGCCAAAAGAGACTATAGTTCGGTTTAACACGATAAAAGTGTCGTCCGACGAGACTAATGTTCAGTCCAACATAGTTCAACCGAACTTATCGAATTCTTCCATCGAATTTCCTTTGTTAGGTTCCGCCAAATATCAATTACTTAATCTCTGTTCGGAATTTTCAATCTACAATCTACATCCTAGGGTCCAGGGTTGGCAACTGGGCAGGCATTTTTTTCAATTCTAAATCATTAAGAAAAAGATTTTTTTTTATCAGAATTTTCCAAGAAATTGTTTTAACACATCAGTCAATGGTTTTTATTAATGCTGTAAAGCTAATAAAAGGGGAAAGTGAGTTTGACCAATTTGAGAATCCTGTCTTCATGTTTTGAGAAATCTGAATGAAATTTTGCATATTGACATAATTTGTGTTTCTTTTAGTAAAATAAAAAGTTTGAATTCATGAATCCGGAAAATGTGAAAAATATTAACAAAGTATATAATAAAATGGGGGGAACTAGGGGGAAAAGTTATCTGAAAAACCTTAAACTTCGTAGTAATGTTAGTAATAAGATTCTGGTGAAAAGCTTTAAAAAAAAAACATGGAAAAATGGGGAAAAGTGAAGGAAATTTTTTCCACAATTTTTGTTTTATTTAAAGGAAACACAAATGATGCCCATATGCAAGATTTCATTCAGTTTCCTCAACAAATGAAGACAGGATTCTTATATGTATTCAAATTGGTCAAACTTACCCTCCCCTTTGATCAAAATCCTGGTATAACTAGTAAGTTCTTCATTATTTTTAGTTAAGATATGCTTCCATTCTCCCCGTCCTAGAACCTTTAAGAAAATGGCCGAAATCAAGTCCACAAAAGAATGGTTTTTTAGTTTGCAGCTGATAAATCGGCAAACCACATTAATAAAAACATTCTTCAAAGGAATTTTCTTAAGTTAATTCTTATTTATTTGGTAAAAATTATTTTTCTTCCTATACAAAGAACAATGTTCTTTGATGGTTGTTAGAGGCGTATTTAAGGGAGGGGGCAATTGGGGTTAAACCGCCCACCCTCACCCCGGTCATTAAAATCTATATTTTGCCGCATAGTTTTGGGCCCCCAAGGAACTCCGCCCCCCCCCCTGTAAAGAAAGATATGCAAGGCCCCCTGGAGAATATCCTGAATACGCCCCTGATTGTCGTTTTCAGTTTGGATTCGCCATTTTCTAGATGAACAGTGATATGTAATAGATAATTGAATTGAGGGAACATAGAAATGTACTTAACGAAAGCAGTCTTCAAGTCTTTTCCATGGGATTTTAATGATATTGAATTCAAATTTTTACGGCATAGATTTATTTGAAATTAACACTAACCTAGTTCTAATTCCGAGTCCAGGTTTGCATCAAATTGGGACTGATTAAATGAAATGTAGCTATGTACGTGTATGTTTATATATATATGCAGTATCGTTTTCTTTCCAGAATTGATTTAATTCTCTAAAATCATTCCCGCCTTAAACAAAAACAGCCTTTAAATAGGCCTTCTATGCATATTCGGTCTTATATTTTACGATATTCTGAAAAGATTTATTTATTTTGCTGATTTCACTGACATTTCGTTAAAAATGATTTTTTTTGTTGAACGCTATTGTCAAATGTTTGGCTTAGGTCGAACGTCCTATGTTATTATTAATTGTAGTATATTTAAGTTATAAATGTTAGTTATTTTTCAATTAAAATTTCACATCTATATAATATCGGCAAGATTTCTTCAATATTGGACGATTACATTTGTGACCCCTGAATAAGGGGTATTTACTATAAACATAAGAAGGAAAATAAATATTATGAATATGTTATTTATTATCCTCTTAAAGGGACTGTACGCGAAAACTAAAGTGACCCTCTACACTAAGAGGGGAATAAAGGACCGATTTACAACTTGAAATAATTATCTGATAAATAAAAGGATGTATTTCAATCATTTCAAAATTTCCTTGCATCGTAGAAATGTGCTAGTAAATTTCAATGAGAAATAATTGGTGTTTAAAATTATAAATATTGATGTCTATTTCTTAATTAATCAACCGCGTAGGGTACCGTTGATATTTTGGCATTGCCATCTTTGCATGGAGGGTCACTTGAAATTACGCTTACAGTTCCTGTTTAGTCCAAAACTTCGGCCCCCTAGCCTGTTCTAGCCGCAGCGCCCGGCCCGGAAATTGTCTTAACCTAACCCTCAAATAATTCAAAAATAAACAGCTGGCGGAGGTCGGAAAGTTAGTAGGTCAGAAAGTTAGTAGGTCAGAAGTTCAGTAGGGAGGATGTTGCTTATTGACGATATAGTATTACCGTAAATTACTTATTTTTTTTTTTAAAAATTAACAATCGAAGGAAGCAAATTTTTTCTTTGATGGAATAGTTGTTAAATCCAAAGATCCAATTAGGGCAAAATAATATTGTACTACATCCGACCCACGATACTTCGGTCCTACCCGCACCTGCTTGTTAAGCAGATCCAAGCTACTGTAAGTCGGTTGCCCAGCTTTCATAAGTTGGTTGCACTTTTCTGTAGGTCGGATGCACAATATTTGTAGGTCGGATACACAACAAAAGAAGGTATGATGCACAACTTTAGTAAGTCGGATGTACAACTTAAGTAGGTCGGATGCACAACATTTGAATTCGACTTTGTTGAATTATAGACCAAGACCCTGTAAGAATGAATATTGTTGAATTATAGACCAAAACTCTGTAAGTTTGAATATTGTTGAATTAGAGACCAAAACTCTGTAAGTATGAATATTGTTGAATTATAGACCAACACTGTAAGTATGAATATTGTTGAATTAGAGACCAGAGCACTGAAGGTTTGAATATTGTTGAATTATAGACGAAAACTCTGTAAGTTTGAATATTGTTGAATTATAGACCAGAACTCAGTAAGTTTGAATATTGTTGAATTATAGACCAAAACTCAGTAAGTTTGAATATTGTTGAATTATAGACCAGAACTCTGTAAGTTTGAATATTGTTGAATTATAGACCAAAACTCTGTAAGTTTGAATAATTATAGACCAAAACTCAGTAAGTTTGAATATTGTTGAATTATAGACCAGAACTCTGTAAGTTTGAATATTGTTGAATTATAGACCAAAACTCTGTAAGTTTGAATATTGTTGAATATAAGTTTTCGAATTATGTGACGGTCTGTGAATAACAAAATTGTCGCATTGAAAATAAGGAAAGATTTAATGACATAATAAAATGGCACTTAAGCTATATTTAATTGGACCTCACAACTAAACAAAAGTTAGTGTTTAAAGATCTTGATAATTTTTTTATTCATCATAACAGGAAAATCCAGATTGCTTTGGAATAGGAAGGCGACATCAAAGCAACCTCTTGTTGTTGATGTTGTTACAAAGCCAATAGTTTTACTCGTATGCTTAAGAATTACACATTAAGTGTCTATTTAAGATCATAACTTTAATCTAAAGGGCATCTTTCTGTTCCACAATGATCTGGTTTTTATCTAAATAATAAAGTTATTCGCTCATATATATTTATTTGAGTACCCTGGGGGTAACAAAGGCTAAAACAAATTATAAATTCCACGAGCAACGCCGGACACTTGAGCTAGTTATACATATATATGATTATGATGGACGTGAAAGCATGTTTATATCCTATATATTTATTATCCTGTAACATTTAATACTACATACATTCGTTTTTTATGCTCAAAGTAAAATAATGATGGAACTCATAACTCCTTAAATCTATGTTAGTAATTACAACAATTAATGATAAATTTAAACCCTTAATGCTAATGTTAGTTAACTAAATATGCTTCCACCAATGGTTAATAGATTTAGCAGCTAACTGCTCCAGTTGGTCGAATACACAGGGGATTGGACTGCTCTTGATATCTAATAATATCTAAAGACTGATCAACCCCGATCTGAGGAATGATTCCTCCTTCCACCTGCCTTCTTCTTCTTGTTGGTGCTTCAGGGCAGTCAACTCCTCGACACTCCTCTATAGCCAATGCCTTTAAATAACAGAAAATGTTAAACCAGTTATCTTTACATGTACTTTGCAATTATCTGTTTGTTTGATTGTTTGTAACCTATAAACTTGACTGAACCGACGGGGCGCAAATTTTTGTTGGATTGTAAGAATTAAACAAATTTGCCTTAAAAAAAAATCGATTTTTCAAAATCAACGGAAAAAACAGTAACGAAGTAACAATGAAAAGTTAAAGATGCCTAGCAAGAATAGAAATGCTATAAAAATATTGTTTAGGTTTTTGAAAATACATAATATAACCCAAATATCAATCTGTATGACAGACGTACTGTTTAAGAAAAACAGTACATCTGTCGTCTATGATTTATACGATATTAGTTCTATCTAATGTACCTGTCTTGAGAAATTTATATTAAACTGTGTCTAAGTTATACAAGAACTTATATATATTTAATATGATCGACGGAGCAATGTGACCATATACTGAATGGCCATTGGTAGATATTCCGAGCATGTGATGAAGACAGAGCCACATGACCAGATGCTACACTAACATTGGTGGAAATTCTGGTCACATGATATTAATATAACTATTATGTTTATCATTTCTATCTATTGAAAAGGAATAAGTATTTTATTCAAATTATAATAGGTGCGTACCTAAACATTTAGTCTCATATACCATATCACATTTATATGAGTTTATGTACACCTTTTACACAGTTTATACCAATTTCTCGAGACAGGGACATCAGATAGAATTACTTTTTGATGCTATCAACTTCTAAAATGATTAGGCTTCAGGCTATACCCCATTTCATTTTACCCGAACAGTCCCTTAAGAATATATTTATCGGAAATATATGTATTTAGTGTTGCTATTTTCCAAATGCCAAAACACCATTAAACAAGTTAGAAGAATGTTTTTCTTAATAGTATTATGGAGAGAAAAAAAAGATTCTCTATATCATTAAATAGAATTTATCTGAGCTAATTAAAACATAATCTCACCGGTACCGCATCCACTAAAGATTTGATGAATGAGAAAGGTCCAGAATATTTGATGACTGCTGTTGTAGTTGTTTTAAGTTCAGTCTCTGTTACAGAGGCAGGGTATATATTAAAGCTACTTGATCTTCCTATCAGGGTTCTGGATAAAAGATTATATGAGAGAAGATTAAATTTTCAGTACATTTCTGGTCAAATTGCGCTATCTGAATAGTATTAAAAAAAATGTTTCTCTTACCTTTCTTCTTCCTGCGCTGTGCACTCAATCTTAAGAAGTACATCAGTTTTACTGCTTAAAAATTTGATCTGAACCTCTCTAGTATTGTTTCCAGCTGAAAAAAGAAGACATAAAATCAGTTTAATTGTTTCTTTAAAAAAATTACAAACCTGCTATTGTTGATTGGATGGCTCCCTCTATTCCAACGGGAATGTTGACTGCCCAACCAAGTGAACAATCCCAATTAATGGAGCCAATAACATCAGGATCAGCAGTTGTATCCAGGCCCATATCATGTATAACAAAGGTTACATTCAACTCAGTCTCATCAGGAACCTGTTCTGTTAGTCCTGTAATTTTGACACCCAGAGGGCGTGGTCCAACATCAAACAATTGTGATGTTACTGGGGAAATTGTCATGCCATCAGGATAAGTTAATGAAAACTGTATTGAATAACCTTCACCCATCTTTGAAAAAGCTAAGTCAGTAAAATTAGCAAATCCATCTTCAAATGGAACAATTACTTCATTCACAAGCTCAGCTCCCTCAGGACCAGAAACAAGAGAAGCAGTAACAAGCCATGGATCACCCTCACCTCCAACCACTTTAACTCGGTCACCAGCTTCTGTGGTTAGGTAAACAAAAGCAGGAAATTCAACTTTAGCCATTTCATATGCATCATAAATTTGTCTTCCAATCACAAGGTTCTTAGGAATAACTATATCATCTACACTATTGAATTCTTCAAGCTTAGCTTCATCTGCTTCTAAACTTTGTTGAGCAAAAGTTTTGTCCAATATTACAGCTCTCTCTTCTGGACTGGTGTACTCAGGCTCAGGTTCAGGGGGTTCTATTGGTTTACTTGCTTCCATAGAAGTTACCTCAACTCCAATAGCAGAACTAAGTTTACCTGTTTGAAGAAGAGTTGTTACCTTGCTAACAATATTTACCAATTTTGTGAAATCTAATGTATCACTTGGTATGACAGGTGAAGCTGTTGTTGTACTAGTTGTGGTAGAAGTTGGTCTTTCTGTAGGTGCATTAGGATTAACTGGAGGAGAACTTGTTGGAAGTGGGTTATTATTAAATAAGCTTCCTGCTGTTTGAGCAGGAGGTTCAGCTATCTGGAACTCTACTCCAGGAGTCTCTGTAGATCTCTTCTTCCTGACACTTCCTTCTCGGACAATATTTGTCACTCTGATTTTATTCAAAGGTATCCCAAGAAGCCCGGCAATATTTCCTACTATTTTATCTTCATCAAAAAACTCATCTTCTCTAATGGTAATTCCTAATTTCAATACTACCACAGGCTGTGTTTTAATGTCACATGTAGACTTTTCCTTGATAAGTAGATAAAGATGTCCAGTGTTTGGATCAAAGTAGTTGGAACAATGCTGATCAGTCATTTCTGGTATATACTTGTCATCAGCAGGGAAAAGCTTTAAGTTGTCAATGACAGAGAAGTCTTTATTGTTAGGAGGTATGTACTCCCCTGCTGTATAGATGTCTAATCTTTGTTGCTTAGGAAACCACATCTTAACTCTGACTGGGTGAGACTCTTCATTATGAAGTAGATGAAATCTAAATACCTGTGGTGGTATACTGGACATTACAATTTCATATTCTTGCTCTGTTGCAACCATTGTGTAAAATGTTGAAAGCCTCTCAGCACAGATATATCCAGAACAGCAGGAATGATCTTGAGGTCCATTTACTAAGTCTATATATCCATTTGGTCCTGCATTAGCTAAAACAGCAATTGGACCAAGTCGTCTAATCCTTCTATCCCTGTCCATTGATTCTATGATCATTAATTTGTGATTGATTCCAGAGCATTTATAGGCTGTCCATTGGGAAACCCAGGTACATTGATCAGTTCTATAGATTCCTGTATTTGGCATTTTGCTTGCATAGGAAATTCTTTCTCCATTTATCTCTGTTACCATTGGTTTTGGTACTCTGTAGTAACCAAGTCCATTTTTAGGATTTCCATCCCACTCAAAAGCAGAATCCGGAATGATAGTGCCACCACTTTCACCGATCAATGTTCCATCTAGGTCTACAATCAGGGCCTTTTTCATTCCATCACAATCAAAGTCAGTACAGTCTGAAGGATTTATTTTACTAGCTAATGGCCTGTTATACATTACTTTGAATTCTTCTTTTACATTTAAGAATTTCAAGTTAGATGTTCTTACTGGCCAATTTACGTCATCTTCACCAGTATTTGTTTTCATGACAATATCCTTCTGTCCACATGCTCCATCAAAATTGACAAATGTAACATCATCCATGTACAAGATACCTCTTAATGTTGGATTAGAGCCTTCTGCAGATTTAACACCCACATGGTGAGGAAAATCTATCATTGGAAACTTGCTTTGAAAGATAGGCAACAGTAGTCCAGTATGAGTAATTCCTGATTTCCTTCCTGTCCAGGCTCTTTTAGCCTCAGGACTGAATGACATGATGGAGGGAGGCCCATTGCCTGTACATTGAAATGCTGCACTGTTTCCTACAATCACACTTTTTGATAATGACATGTGTCTGTCATCATCAATTATATGATCCAATGCTGATGGACCAATTCCATGAAACATGACAGCTAGCCCACTTTCTATAATTGTAAGGTCTTCAACTTTTACATTATCCTCTGACATTACCATAATACCATATTCAAAATTTCTCCATATAAGAAAGTTTTTAATGTTGACGCATCCTATTTTGTCTAAACCTCTGCTGTTGAGATGAATGGCATGCTGGGTTGAGAAAATTTCATTTCCTGTCCACACATATTCAACATCACACGGACTTCCCCTGGTATTTAGGCCTCCTTGTGCACAGCCAGCCATAACATTGTTCATTAGGATAGTCCCAGTTCCTCTCATGATATTAATACATGCTCTAAAATCAAATCCTAACCTTAGATTCTTTATCTGGTTTATCGATTCTCCCATAGTTACAAGGTTTCCTACAATCTTGGTGTTTTCACTCTCATCCAGTATGCCATCGTTAATATGTCTGAAGATTACATTATTTTCAATTGCAACTCCATCTGATTCAAAAATTCCTATTCCTGAATTGTAATTATAATCAAATGAGCAATCCTTCACAAATGAGGTGATTTCCCCAATAGGAAGCAATTCAAATGTTTGTGGGGCTGAATTCACAATGGCAAGAGAATACCGGGGATCATAATTATCAGAATAGCCTTCTTGTCCAGCTTTGAAGAATTCAACATTTGATAGCTTGACATATCCAGGTTTCACAATTCCACCCTCTACAAAAGCTGCAGCAATTACTCTAGCTCCAAACATTTGTTCTTCTTGTTCATCATATTCAGCTCCTATTATCCTGACATTTCTTGACAATAAACCTACTCTGGCCTTCATGGAAAAACTTCCTGACCCCCCAGGTAAATCTTCATTAACACTTAAGTGGGTAAATTCTAGAGGTGATGTTAGAGTTATAATTTTCCCATTTATTGATTCAATTACTCTTTTTTCAGTCTCCAAAGATTCATAGTTTGTGGCAGTTATTACTAACTTGTCTCCTACTTTCCATCCTGGTTCTTCTTCCACTTCAATAGTAGTTTCTCCAATGTTTGCTGTTTTGGCAAGAGAAACCCAGCTTATTGTATCATTTCTTCCAAACATTTCAATCAAACCAGGATATACTAAGTCTCTTATACTATCTCCATAAACTCCCAATGCTTTCGCACCTAGATTAGGAGCATTGAACATGGGTTGATCGGTTGTGTAATGATTTCCATGAAGATATAACTCAAAATTGTGTTGAAAGCGATTGTTTTCTTCTCCTACAATTAGTCTACCACCCATTACCAATAATATTTCTACTTCTAGTCTTCGGTCCTCTGTGTCTTGAACTTCTAAGGTTCCATAAACATACAACCTCTTAAACTTAGGTGGGTTAGTGTCCAAAACAACCCAGGCTCCTCTTGGGATGGATACCTCATCATTTCCTGTTGGTGGAAGTAGTTCTGCATCTACCCAGTCTTGAGGATTTGACCATGATATAAAACTTTCTGGCCTATTTGGATCCATTGTTGGTGGAGGAGTAGGTATACATCCTTCATTTTCACATCTGATTACACTGAACGTTCCAGTGGAGACATCATTTTGAGTCCAGACTCCCAGATCTCCTGATCGTTGAGTATCTTCTGTGGCTCTTTTCTTCCACCAGTTTGACCTTCCTTGACCTTTGCTTGAAAATATGTATTGTACCTCTGATAATGGGGTACCCGTTTCATTGTTAAAGTACCAATCTCCATTCTCACTGTTGTCAAAGGTTGGGGGACTCTGCAGGGAAGCGCTGTAATTGCTAAGCGAGTTGTCAAAAATATTAAACCTGTCTGGTTGTTGTGTGAGGTCATGGCCTAAGATTAGAAAGTTTTCACCAGTATGCATTCCATAGGCTTCAATGTAATATGATATGTTTGTTAAATGTTCAGCAGTGTTAAAAGCTAATTTATTTACAGGACCTTGAGGAAGTAGAGCTTCCCATCCCCTCCCCAGCCACAGAAATTGACGTTCACTTTGACCATACTGATTAGTAACAACAATTTTGTTTGCTTCTAGTGAAGATGGAGCAGCCTGATTTATTTTGATCTTGTGAAAATTCACAGAACTGTCACAAACTGAACTAGTAATTCCTCCTCCCAAAAAACCAGAGGCATCATCAGTACACAGATCAGTTGGGTTTGTTCCACTCTTAGTCACCAATGAAGCTCCTACTGTTCCTGTCAGGCTACCATCAATATCTTTGTACCACACTCCATGCTCACGTCCTGGATGAGTGTACTGTCTGTGAGTTGTGTTGAAAAATTGCAGGCCACTGACTCTGATTGCCAAAGCTGCTTCAGATTTTTCTTCAAATTTGGTTGCAATAGCTCGACATGCAGGACCTTTATCAAAATTATAAAAAGTAATGTTTTCAAGTGTGTAGCCCTTTGGGGGAAGGTTAATTCCAATTGGCGTACATGCATTTTTTTTACCAGTTGTTAGTTCTGAAACTTTGGAATGACCAACAATGAGACTGTTGAAAATTCCTGCTCCACCAGGTCCATATGGTCCTCTTCCTGTGAAGATTTCATAGGCTGAGAAGTCATGGTCCATATGAGTTTGGTTTTCTAACCTTATATTAGCACCTGATACTATCTCAAATCCTCTTTTGTTATTCCATGTTGTAAATGATCCTATTCTTGCTTGAGTTCGATAACCATTGCAAAATCCTTGTTCCACTGTACCAGTATGAGGGTCATATGTTGCATGATTAGACTGACCAAAAATCCAAAATCCATACCATCCCATGGAGTGAGCTGTATTATTGCGGAACTCACCAAAAGGAACTTTGAAAGGACAAAACTTTTGAGTGTAAGATGGACCATCAGGAACAGTTGCAGGTCTCAGCCAGAAACAGACATGGGTTGAACCAGCACAAGAGTTATGTAAGAACTTATTCAAAGGGTTTACAATCCAGAAACTGGCTGGGTTGATATCTGGGTTCAGTAAACTGTTAGACATTCTTGTAAACACTGCTAAATTGTACTGTAGTGTATTGTGCATCTCAATTCCATCTTCAAGGAAGAACGTAAGTCCCTTAATGTTGTATGCAACATTATGCTCAATGGTAATATTAGACACATCATGAAGAGTACAGGCCCTGTTGTTAGAATGATGAATAGAAACTCCTCTCACATAGCTTTTTGACTGAACTCCAGGCAAATGAAAGTGAATGGGATATCTTCCAACTCTAAATGCTTGTCCAACACTTGTTAACTCTATATAGCTAAATCTTGCCTCAACAAGACCTTGATTTTTGAACTTTGGACTAATAATTATTACTGCCCCCATTTCATCTGAACCAAGTTCTTCCCCAAATTTACCAGCAAAACAAGTTTGCAGAGAATCTGAGAAAGCTGCACCAGAGTTAAAAGGTTCCTCACAGGCAGGAAGAACTTCTTTAAATTGTTCATTTATAGTTCCTTTAACTAAGACATTTCTGTTCAAGAGAGCAACTTCACCCCTTGTTTCAACCACTTTATTCCCAAATGTTTGTTCTATTGATATATGTCTATATTTTAAGGGACTTTGAAGGGTAATTGTGTGACCATCTTCTGATATACTTTGGATGTAATGTTCTTCATTTTCTTTCATACTGTTTCTATCACCAGTTGTTGCAAGAACAATATGATCTCCTACCTGCCATGTTACTGGCTGCTTCAGTTTGATCTCAGTTGATCCAGGTTCTACCGTCTCAGAGAGATGGGTCCAAGTAACAGGAATATACTTGCCATGTAGATCAAGACTGCCTTCTCTCACTCCAATTACCTAGAATAATAATAGTTGTCATGGCTATATATTTAATCTAGTAAAAGGAGGCCACCTGTTATTTTTGTGTTCTCAGAATAGTGGCAAAACCCTGTCCAAGGATATTAAAAATTGAAAATTTGTTACCTTGCATCCAAATACAGGCATTTCAGTACATCTCACATTTCCATGCATTGTAATTACAGCATTAGATTCATATGGTTTCTCTTCAGTTCCAATTTGAAGGCTTCCACCACCAACTATAAGTATATATTCAGCTTGCAGTTCAAGGTTTGGCTGCTCTTCATCAAATAGGAGAGTACCCCCATTAATAAGCAGAAATTTCAATACTGGGGTGTCAGTATCAAGCAGAATTGTCATCCCAGGAGTGATCACAATAAATTCCCCTTCAAGCGGAGTCCCTAGACCACCCCATGTCCAAATTGAAGACCATCTGTCAATGTAGTAGAATGTGGCCAAATCAATATCTTGATACCTCCCATAGCCCTTTCCTTGAACATCAACAATGACAGGTGCTTCTATAGCACCATTGTGGTAATTTGTGTAACAAGTAATTTCTGTTGCACTTTCTGTAGCAACATCACAAGTTACATCATCAATGCTAACCTTGTTTCCTGATTCAGCAAACCCTGTTCCAGTTATTGTGATTAATGTACCACCACCAGTTCCTCCTCTAAGGGGAGACACTGCTATGATTTCAGGAGTAAGGTTGGCATCATAGGTGAATATGCTAGATTTTGTAAAATCACCTGATTCTTGTGAAAGAATGATATCACATACTAAAGTAGCAGAGGTATCAGCATTTGTAGGTGTTAAACATTGAATTTCTATGGTGGAAATCTGCTGTATGATGCAGGCATTACCACAAACTGAAACTGTTGCTGCTGAGCTATCAAAACCTTCTCCTACAATTGTGATCAATGCTCCCCCTCCAAAAGATCCTGTGGCAGGAGATACGGATGTTATGTCTAACTGAATATTCCATACTTGATCACTGTTTGAATAGCCAAGTTCAGCACTTTCAACCTTGATTGGATAAGTACCTCCAGCAATAAGAGGAAGAGTGCATTGGATTTCAGTGTTAGTGGCTGTATCAACTGTGCAAGAATGTTTCCCAACACTTACACTTGGACTTGCCCCAAAGTCAGTGCCTGAAATAGTAATTTGGGTGGTAGACAATTCACTGACAGATGTTACTGTTGGGGTTTTGGATACATCTTGACTATATGTTGATGTTGCCTCAATTGAATTTGACGATACTTTTAGCTCTGCACAGTCTCCAGTGCATGGCTCTGTTCTACACTTAATCAAATTAGCTGAAGTTTCAACAATTGTGCAGTTTGATGATCCAAAGGTAACTACAGTATTGTCAATTTCTCCACTGAAACCACTCCCTGAGATGCTTAACAGATGCCCTCCATGGATTGACCCAGAGCTAGGATTGACTGCAGAAATCAACATTCGACTAGTTATTGTCCCGAAACCTACAACAGAATTTCCTACACCACCATCAATGTTTACAATGATATTGTATTCCCCAGCTGGTAATTCTGAAAATGAAAAACTGATGCTTGTATCAGTCACTGTTGTAACTTCTCCTTCTTTACTATTTTCAGCAAGAGGACTCATTTCTAATAGCGCATTGATATCAACAGATCTTTTTCTTCTGGAGGGGCTTGTGACATAATTCATTACAGACATCAACCTTACAAAGCAATCATCTGGGTTATTTTGACAAATTGTCATTGTTGTGTTGTTATCTTCTTGTGCAGAGACTTCCATGTCAAAGTTAAAATTTGGATAGGCTTGCCTTTTAACTCTACTACTTGAGGGTGAATCTGTCACATTCCCTGTAACTTCCTCTGTTGAACATAAGCCAGTTGGACATCTCCAAATTTCAGCACCCATCTTTTCCCAATTATCCTTCTTAATTATGCCATTACTCTGTGTTACTTCTTCAGGTTCTGGAATTTGTCTGCGCCTTCTACTTAAATTGTTTATTGGCTTTGCAAACACTTTTACTTTGCTCACATTGCTTCCAAAATTAGTTCCAGTAATAGTCAGAACATCACTTGTGCTTGTGACAACTGTTGATGAAATTGTGGCAGCATTTGACATTAAAGATTGCTTAAAAGTGAATGTGATCTGAGAATCAACTTTAGGTTCAACTTGGTCATATCCTAGAGTAATCTTGATTGGAACAGTTTGATCAGGTTGCACACCTTTAAAAGGTGTGTAGTCAGGAACCAGACAACTAATGGCATCAAAAGATAGACTAATAATTGTGCAACTTGCTTGAAATCCTTCATCACCAAAAGTTACAAGGGCTACATCTTTCCCTCCATGCGGTAGAAGGCCCTTTCCTGACAATACCAAGATCATACCTCCTGCCCAACTTCCCTCAACTATGTTAGTGGTGATAACTTGGGGGTACAGCAATAGCTTAGCCATTTTAGTATCTTCTGGAGTAAACACTGAACTTCCTTTATTTAAAACCCTAATAGAAACTTCATAGTTTTCTAAAGACTCCATTGGGTCTATTTCACCTGAATTTCCATTGAAAGTGCATTCAAGCATGGTGGAAGAGGAAGTGTCAACATTACATGCATGATCACCAATCTTCACTTCATTTTGGCACAGAGTAGAAGAAAATCCTTCTCCTTGTAATTTAATTTTTGATCCATCAAGAATATAATTAGGTTTAGTTTCATTAAATTGTCCTTCAGTTATTTCTATTTTATTGACCTTAGGTGTTAAACAATCAGAGAACAAGAAGGTGAAAGTATCTGAAAGAACTGGATCAGTAGCACAGTTAAACTCTTCAGAAATTGTACAGCTAGAATCACTGGAAATGGTCCCTGAACTTGCTCCTGAAATATCATGATCAGCTTCAACTTCTCCAAGATTGATCTTCAATTCCATAGTCTTATCCTCCATCAATGTAGCCACTTTAACAGTTCCTCTCATTATCAAATCTATACTTTTAACTGGATCGCTTGTGTAATAATAATCCCCAGAAGCTGTAAATGTTTCACTGAAAATACCAGATGGTTTTTTTTCTCCTGATTTAAATCCACTTCCATTGTATTCATCAACAAGTTGGTCACTTGTTTGTAAGATATTAATCCCTGTTGTGGGCAAAGATGTTTGTAAGGTCCATGTCCACTGAATAGTATCTCCAGGCATTACAATAGCTTCTGATGGGGTCCAAGCATATCCAATTCCAAAACTGGGATGTTTTCCACCATTGGTAACAATATGAGTTTTCTTTTTTCTTTCTGTAATACACTTGATCTCTGTGTCTAAACAAGATGTTACTGTGCACTCATACATAGTACCAAAATGAATATCAATATCAGAACAGTTTCCAAAACCAATTCCAGATATTTGAACAACAGTTCCTCCCAAAACAGAGCCTCTTCTTGGGATGACATTTGTAACCTTAAAGTTTACTTCAAAGTTTGGAACCCCAGCTGTTGATGCAATACCATTGTCAGGAACTTGAACTTTAACTTTGTGTTGTCCATTTTTGTTGGGAGGAATTGAACATGTTATTTGAGTACTTATCCATGATACAATACTGCATGCTGCATCGCCGATGAATACTTTACCCCACTTGGCCCCAAAGGAATTGCCAGAAATAGTGAGAGTACCCCCTCCAAGAGCTGAAGCAGATAAAGGTGTAAAAGAACTAATTGATGGGGATGCACTAGCATCATATCTAAAAGAACCCCCACTAGCAGTTTCACCATACACTGTAGCTGTAATAGGTCCAGAATCTCCATCCACGCCCTCTGTTGTTATGCATTTGACTTCATTAAATTTAGACTCCTTGACTACACATTCTTTGTCTGCAGCTGCTAATTGACAAGCACAAGTTTCCCATTCATCAACTGAGTTTGGAAATCCTCTCCCGTCTATGGTAATTAGTGTACCACCCCCCACACTGCCCACGTCAGGGGTATTGCCTAGAACAGTCAAGCTGACTTGATATTTTAATCTAGGAGATGGTTGAGTTGCTTCTCCTTTACTTTTCACAATGACTGAGACATCAAATTCACCGGCTGGTCCAGGTTCCAAAATGCATTTGATTTCAGTCAGGGAAGCAGCAGTTGTTTTGCACATTTGTTTTCCAACTTTAATTTCAAAATCATCAACTGCTTCTGAAAGCTGACTTCCCTGTATGGTAAGTGTGGTATCTCCATTTTCCTCAGAACCAGATATGCTGGACACTGATGGTGTTGCTGATTCACTGAATTGAAATTTACAGATTCTGTTACAGTCTTGGTTTATATTAACACATGGTGAAGTACAACTTGATAAGAAATCATTAACATATACGGACACTGTAGGTTCTGCTGTTTCCAATCTGAATTTGAAATTTCCTTTCATGAGACTTTTCAAAACTAAACAATTTTATCTAAAGAATAGTTAACAAACATGTTTCAGAAAATTATCTAGATGTTACTTACAAAATCAGATTTTCAATAAATTACTGAAAAGGTGGTTAAATTAAACAAAAAGAAATTTTTCCTAAAGAAATCTCCCCCAGGGGTTTCAATCATGATTCCACCTTGCTCTCTTTGATGTACTTCAATTTTACTATACTTTCCATGATCTATTACTAAGTTTGAGCTGTCAATTGATAAGTCATCTATGTTTCCAGTTGGTGTTGAAGCTCTAAAGTCCATCATGATGTATTTATCATAACATTCCCATCCCCAGTAGTATGTATTTACACCATATATTCCAAACTTGCTTTCCAAGATTTGCCTCAACTCATAATCTTGTAAATCCATTGATAGATTTTCAACAGTTATTCCTTGGTATGATAGACTATAATTTCCTGTTGGCCTTCTTGATCCTCTTTCTATTCTTTGAATAGTAACAGTACCACCTCCCCAATCAGATTTTGTATATGTTACATTTTCTTGAGTTTGGAGATAGTTCCGAATTGCAGTATTTTTAGCTTCATTGTTAGTAATTCCAGTAAGATCTAAACCCACAATCGTAGCATCCTTGATTCCAAATAGTTCAAAATCATCATTTGCTTCATTACAAGTACGAGGATCTATTTTTACATCAAATGAAGAATCATCTTCTACATAAGAAACACTGACAGACTGAACTTTTACATCCTCTGATGGTACAGCGCCAAGAACTCTCTTCATCTGAACCTCTTCCTCAGTTATTGAAAATTCATCATGGTACCAGTAATATTCATTACTCCATGTAGGAGTAATGATATCCGCAATCTCAAGATATGTGGTTCCTTGTTTAAGATTTGTCAGTCCTGATAATGTAGAGTTGCGAATCAACTCTGCCCAGTTAAAACAGTTGTACTGCCAATCAAATGATGGTTCCCAAAGATCTGGGATTGTGACCCATTCAGTCTGGATCCTATCATTATCTTGTCTTTGATACCATACTAGCAGGGTCAGTGATCCAACTAAATTAATTCCTTTTACAGCAAAGCACAGAAACTTGTATCTATTAGCATCTATTTTAGGCTTTCCATACAAATGCATGAGCCTTGTTTGTCTCTCAACAGACCTTATACCACAATATGGTTCTACTCTTGGGTTCATATATCCCCCAGCTCCGTTTAAGTGAAACCGCACATCTTCATAGTCTTGAACATATCTTATTCCAGTGCGAAGGGCTTCACATTTTGTCATAAGCATATCCTCAAATTTTGGCTTCCATTCTGACTTGGCAGCTGCTTCAGCAATCTGAAACCCTTCAGCAGATTCTTTTCCAGATTGGGTAAAAGTTATTTCTGAAACTCCTGTAACACCATTTATCTTTATTCTTTGGGTTTCTAGGTTTCTTTGATAGTAAAATTGAAATCCTTGACGTTCCCATTGAACTTGATTAGTTTGATCTCTGTAATAAACTGTATCATGCTCCCACAGCGAAACTTGAAGAAAACTAGAGCTTTGATTTTCTTTTGGTTGAGTTTGCATGGCTTCCAGATAGTATTCTTCACCCTTTTCTACAAAGATGTTGCGTGATCGTGAATTAACATGCCCAACAGACTGAACTGTGTTTCCAGTTGGCCAATTAAGAAGTAGCTCTGTGTTTGTGCTATCAGAGTTATTGCTCCAATTAAGTGAGCAGTTACCAGTGCAATGCAGATAAAATGAGACATTGCCTGTGTATGGAGCAACAAATAATCCTCTCAGTCTAGCTGTGAAACCTTTAGTTTGATCTAAAAACTTTGGCCCCCTGACTGTTGAGTTATCTATAACCATTTTTCTATAATCTGCCGCAGTAGTTGACAGTGTCGAGTAGTCTGTAGTAACAGTTGTCACCCATGCTTCATATAACATTCCCCTGGGGCCCCCAGGAGATGAATCAGTTTCAGACTGTTTAGGGGTCAAGCATGTTAGGTCTGTGCTGTTAATATTTACTATCTGACATTCTGTTTTCCCAACCATAACCTTTGTTTTTCCAGGATAGGCATCAAATGAATTTCCCTTGATGTTCAAATGAGTTCTGCCATTTATTCCGCCAACATTTGGTGAAAGAGCAGTTATTTCTGGTAAGGTATGGTAATTAAATAATTCTCCTTTAGAATTGACAGAATATGCATCATCATTGTTAGTTGCCAAAGACTTTCCTTTATCTCCGGATACAAAAAATGTTGCATTCATTGCTCCAATAAATGTACCACCTGGCCTAAAAGTTAAGAAATTATCAATTTGCAAGTTCTATCAAAATTTGTCTTGATAATTTGCTTTTTAAGTTGAAAAGTTATTTTTAGAGCATCCCCCCCCCACCTAAAACAAATGGAATTATTGTTTTCTTAGCTAAGAATAGTTTTAAGATATTTTATTGTTAAATTCCGAGAATCATACAGGGTGTCCCAAAAAAACACAGGGGTTGTCAAAACCTTAAATTTGGACCAATATTGATGATTTTGGGCATTTTTGATATCTTCTAAAAATTCTCATAGCAAATATTACTTAAGTTTGAAGTTATAGAGTTCCTTTGATGCAAAATTATTGTTTTCATAAAAACAAATACACATTTTATCTTTAATACATTAAAACAAATATCAATTCTAACAGTATTTACAATATATTATAGCCTCTATATAATAAATTTTTACAGTAGAAAATTTAAATGATTCAATATGGTGGCCAAAGGTGTAGTCAGGAGGGGCTAAGCCCCCTGAGTGAAATCTATGGATTTGTTTTTTAGGCCCAAACAGCTGCTGAGCCCCTGACCCCTAGAGAGGAAAAAAATGTAAGCCCCCTCTGGAAAATCCCTGAATACATTTTTGGCTTAGCACTTCAATAGTCAGTCTCTTACCTCTATGATGGTTTTTCTTAAAACTTAAAGCACTGTTCAAGACTCCCACCTTTTTTCTAATGCTGGTTCAAGTTATTTGATCGGGGGGTGCAAAATTTAGGTTTAAGGTAACCTCTTAAATGAAGATCACAATGATACAGCAAATTGGACTTCATAATGGAGACTTGAGATGGGAATGCTACATTTTTTTCATTTAGTTAATTCATTGTTCATAAAACACAATCTGAAAAATTCATATCCTTTGTCAATTGTTCTTCTTTTCTGAACGACGCCCTTTTCCATGAAAAAACAATGCCCATCTCTTATGGAGACTATGAAACCAGCCATGTTTGAAATGTTGCCAGGAAAGTAAAAGATAATGTTAACCTGCAAGTAATATATCCTTCATTTCCAGATTGTGGATCATCCAGCTTTATACCATAAACATTACCTAAATACAAATGTATTAAAACTTTCCATCAAAACGTTGCCTAGGGTTGATAGGAGAAGACCATTGATAAATTAATTGATGAGAATAAGAATTGAAAGGAATATAATTTTGAGAATCCTTTCACACCAAGGGAAAAATGAGGAGTGGTGGAAAAAAATTGGATTGTTACTAATTTAAGCCCTATATGAATAGGGCTGGGCAAAGCTCTGTTAACAAATCGGAAATTAACTAATATTGAAAAGTCTGTTAACAAACATAATATTTGTTATTTGTTCTATAAACAATACACTTAAAACGACTTTTTTCCGCTAGGTGTCTCTGCCACATGTAATCATTCAAAGCATCGAGAGCAGAGACATCTGGCGGCAAACTATTTCAACGTTTTAAGTGCATTGTATACAAAACGAATGAAAAATATTACAAAGTGTTACTATAATGAATGCGTCGAAAAATAACCGATGACTATAGGTTGTAATATCTGAATGATTGTTTGAAAATAAATTGATTTTTTACGATCCAAGCCGTAAATTGCAATTTTCTGAATTTTATGGACACTATGTTCTTCAGTATAAGTCTTTTTTAAAAATTTTCTCTTTTTAGACACAACAGATAGAAGTAAGATTATTGGCGATCAAAAGCAATTATTTTTTACTGTAAGCCTATACCCCTTTTATTTTTCGCGAACACTCCCTTTAAACTATTTTAATTCAAATTTGTTTTATTTAAATAATTTGCAGGAAAAGTGTATTATCAGAGTTTTTGTCAGACAATCATGAGTTTCTTGACATTTCTGGCAGTTAAAGTTGGCAATTGGCTTCTTAGCCTCTCAGTGCTAATGAGTCAGACGATTAGTCTGCTATTAAATTTAAAATACCAATTGTACTGGCAAAACAAATAGTTGGATTAAGTATATTGAATGCATTAAGGTTGGGTGTGATTTGAATCATCAATTAGTGAGTAGGTTTGTGGTATATATATTTATGGTTTAGTAAATGATGACGTCTTTCAGAAAAAAAAACTAAACGATGGAAGAATGGCTTGGATCATTCAGAGATATGAAAAAACTATCGTTTTTGAAAGAAAACAAAAAACCAAAAACAAATGATCAAAAAAATTGTTCGAACGATCTTGATTGTTTGTCTTAACAAACTTGAATAAAAACAAAAATAATTTTACTAAAACGAACGAATTTTCCGACAGATTTGGAAAACTATCGTTTTTTTCTGATAGAACGATTATTTTTTACAAACTTGTGACAAAACGAGAGGTTTCTTACTTTTTACTGAAAGACAAATTTCATTGAAAAAAACGATTTTTCTGAAAGAACGATTTTACTGAACGAACTATTTTATTGAAAGAACATTTTCACTGAACGAAAGTTCAGTGAGAAAACAAACAAAAATGATAAAAAATAAATGAAAATTTTGAAAGAGAAGAAAATCATTTTTTTATTATTAAAAAACGAACAAAATTAGTCATTCACAAACAAACGAAAGGGACAAAAAAACTAACTCGCCCCTGGTTAGAGTTTACATTACGTATATACGTAGTATTCTTAAGTACACGTTGTGTAGCATGGAGTTCCTCTTAAACCATATGCTTCCATAAAACTACATACATTGGTCTACGTGACGTCTCCTATATTGGTCGTCAAATGTACGGAGAAATATCTATCTATCAGATAAGAATTTAGTATGAGACATCTAGCGGCCAACATATCGTCCCCCAAAGTACGTGAACTACACGACCTCTTTCTATGGAGAAAACGGGCTAAGGATGAGGCCCTAGAAAGGGTTCAGAAGGTGTCCCTTAAAGTTATTCTAGGCCCAGTATATATTACTCATCAATCTGCTCTATCAGTTCTGGAACTAGAAACCTTAAGGATTAGGAGAGACTGTTTATCCTTTACTGAAAAATGTCTAAAATCTCTAAGGCATTCTGCCCTAATCCCGGTAGAACCAGTCACTCACAGCCACCAGCTACGGAACGTTGAACTATTACTGTCAACTATGCTAGAACGGAGAAATTCAGAAAATCTGCTATTCCCTATGCAAAGAAAATTAAACTTCCTATGATATAACCTTATCTTATTCTGTGATAAAACCCATGATATATTCAATTATATTCCTATGAGAATGTTAATCATATTATAATATGTATTATGATCTTGATTTATCTCTAATAAATTTTACGTATGTTGAAACCCTTAATAACGAATACATTAAAAGAATTCATCAAATGTCGTATTCTTCACTTTCTGATAATGGAATGTTGCAGATATTTAGTTTTTTAATTAAATGATTATATGGAACTCTTTAAAACTGTTCCCGCATATTCATGGCTATTTATTTATTTTCGCAAATACTAAAATTTACGTAATTTAGTGTAAAACTCATTGAAAAATTGTCAAGACGACATTTGATAAATTCTCGATGTATTCGTTATTAAGGGTTTCACTGTAATTAAAAAAAACTCGCCACCTCTAGTCTAGATATATCATTTAAACATGATATCCAGTACTATAAAACTGTAAAGTAACAGCTGACTTGTATTTTTATGATTTCCCATTGGTTAAGTCTGAGAGCAGACTTTGTGTGTCTCACAAAGTCTGCTCTCAGAAAAATGTTATTGGTTAGATTGGCCTTCAGAAATATTATTATATTATTATTATATTATTAAACTACAAGATACAGATAAAGATGAGTGTTCTGTGCAGAGGTATATTTCAATAAGAATCAAACCTGAAAAGGTGATTTGAACCTACCAAGTGAGTGATTTGAACCTACCAAGTGAGTGATTTGAAACTACCAAGTGAGTGATATGAAACTACCAAGTGAGTGATTTGATTTGAACCTACCAAGTGAGTGATTTGAAACTACCAAGTGAGTGATATGAAACTACCAAGTGAGTGATTTAAACCTACCAAGTGAGTGATTAGAAACTACCAAGTGAGTGATTTGAAACTACCAAGTGATTGATTTGAAACTACCAAGTGAATGATTTGAAACTACCAAGAAGTGATTGATTTGAAACTACCAAGTGAATGATTTGAAACTACCAAGTGAATGATTTGAAACTACCAAGTGAGTGATTTGAAACTACCAAGTGAATGATTTGAAACTACCAAGTAAGTGATTTGAACCTACCAAGTGAGTGATTTGAACCTACCAAGTGAGTCAGTGAGTTCACATTCTCTCTGCCCTACCACCACACCAGTAATACTGTCTTCCCTCCGGGTTGCCACACCAGATGAACCTTAACAAAGCAAATTTCCTAATTTGTACAGAGGGTTTATTTTGGGTTTCGAAATGGACCACTTCAGAAATCGTTCAAACTTTTCATTATCAATAGCACAAACTAAAAAAAAATTATCTGGAAAATTTCAAAATGATTGTGTGAATCAGAATTTGTTTATTTTCCAAAAATATTAAAAAAATGATATCAAAAATTTAAATTTTATATTTTGATTTAAAATGAAACACAAACAGTTTTGTTCAAAAAAAAGATAAAAAATTGAAAAAAAGATTAAAGTTCTTTATAAGAATCATTTAATTATGCTTTGAAACAAAATAATCAAAGTTTTAACTGTAAAAGCAATTATTTAGATTTGTGAAAGATAAATATCCTTGATGGGATCTACCTCCCCCTGCAATATGGATTTCCCTAAGAATAAACAAGATTGTCACATATTTTACTCATTTTCTAAATCTGGACACTTAACCCAGAACTATGGAGACATCAAAAGAATTTATAAAAAATCACATTTTCTAAATCTACTTAAAATGCAGCTATTTAGTTTAAAGGGAGTGACCGGCAATGTACGGTGGTTGAACTGAGTATGTAGTATTGTGGACACATTTTTAAAGATTCATTTGAGACATATAAAACTTTTCTACGACGTTTATTTACGGAGTTTGAGCGCAAAGTCGACGTTCAAAATCATGAATTTGGGTAGATACGTTTTCAGAGTCGGTTTTTTAAAATTAGTAAATAACGACGACAAAAAATGTAAACAAAATTCTACAGTAAAATAATTAGTTGTTTAGGAACAGGTTGAGAAAATAAAAGTTAACTCTTATCATCGAAAATAAGTAATCTTAATAAATTATTAGTTTCTATAATCTCTCATTATTTGCAAAGATTTTCTGCAGATTTTTGGAATTTTTATTTAAAAGACGACATGTGAAAAATTTGTAGAAATTCATAGAAAATAAGAAATTCAATAAAAGGATGAAAACGAAATAATTGATTTCTTGACAAACTTCTTTTGAAAAATATGTTCCTTAACATCTAGTTAGTTACGTGCATAAATTTTACTTTATTTTTCGTCGTCGTTATTTAATAATTAAAAAAACGATTCTGAAACATACCCAACAAAATTCGTGATTTTGAACGTTGAATTTGCATCTCAAACTCAGTAATTATACATTGTGAAAACGTTTTAAATGTCTCAAATGAATTCTAAAATATTTGACCACAATACTGCATATGCAGTTCAACCACTGTACATTGCCGGTCAGTCCATTTAATAGCTAAACTAAATAATCTTATGGAGCTCTTTAGAGCTTTTCTTGCATATTTCATGGCTTCTTATTTATTCTTACCATAACTGAGATCTAAGTATTAAGTATGAAACCCATTGAAAAAGTGTCAAAACAACATTTTATAAAATATTTTGATGTCTCCGAAGCTCTGCTGGGTTAAAACGTAAAATAAATACATTTATATGTGTATTTATATCTTTGTGTGTGAATAAATCTTTATATATGTATATATATATAATTGTAACAAATTCAAGAAAACACGAAGACGATTACTACTGTGTAGCGAAGTTGACCGCGCAAGATTCACAATACATAATACTATATCCGCTCCAAATGTGTCTCCTCATGTTCCCCCCCTTTACCCCCTCTACTTGAAGAGAACAGCGTCAGTTAGCTTTGGAACGTCGAGATGTGAACACCTCCGATCAGGAACTACTAACTCCTTTATGATGATGGCGCAGATACTCAGTAAGCAGCAGACGTGCTTAGCCGAAGGGTTCCCAGTTTATCATGTAAACCAGAGACAACATGAAGCTTCACCTCATGATAAAACCGCGATCACTGCCTACTAGGTTGGATAAGCCCTGCTGTTTCAGTTCCTGTTGATCTGCTCCACCAACATGAAGCTCCAACTGTTCCATTCCTTTCAACACTAATAATCAATGTTATTTCATTTTCAACCGTTTAGATACTCCCAATTAAGGGTCAATATTTTTAAACCTTGCTTTTATTTCTCATTTCATGCTATTATTCAATAAAGTTACCGAATATCCCTTTTGTTCTTTTATTTGTGTCAACAATAATATTGCTTCCCACCAATTTGAAAGACTAAGATATACTACCTGAATCGTCTTTAAAGTTTGAATTTCCATATTCTTTTGTGAAGGTTTGTCCAATCAATGTGATTAAATCTCCAGGTTTTCCATATCTGTTCTGAACCCTCCTGGATAAATTATAGGTTCGATAGCAATCAATTTCTAACTAGGGCTGGGCACAGTTTTCATATCAAAACGGAACTTTTTGAAAATTAACTGAAGAGTTTTTTTTACCAAACGACACGTTTAAATCATTAACGAAGAGAAATAGGTGTTCTTTAAAGGGAGTGACCGGCTATGTAAGGTAGTTCAACTGAGTATGCTGTGTTGTGGAAAGCTTCTTTCGGATTCATTTGAGACATATTAAACATTTTAAAGATCTGTAAATCCTGAGTTTGAGTGCAAATTCGATGCTAAAAACTTCTGCTATGGGGAAGGATACGTTTTCAGAATTAGTTTTTCTAAAATTATTAAGTAACGAAGACATAAAATGTAAAAAAGTTCTACAATAAACTACAGACATCATGTATAGGAACATGTTGAGAAAATAAAAATTAATATCTTATCATCGAAAATAAGTAATCTTGTTCAATTATTAGTTTCTCTTATCTCATTATTCGCAGATTTTCTAGAATTAGTATTGAAAAGACGACATTTGAAGAATTTGAAGAAATCTGCGAATAAATTCAAAGAAAATTAGAAATTCAATATAATAATGAAAACGAAATAACCGATTTTAGCATTGATTTATTGACAAATTTCTTTTGAGAAATATGTTCCAAACCATCTAATTAGATTACTGTATAATTTTTACTTTATTTTTCGTTGTCATTATTCAATAATTAAAAAAAAACTAATTCTGAAAACGTATCCACCCCAAAAGTAGGAGTTTTGAATGTCTAATTTGCGCTCAAACTCAGGATTTACAGATCTTTAAAAAGTTTAATATGTCTCAAATGAATCCGAAAGAAGTTTTCCACAACACTGTATACTCAGTTCAACTACCTTACATAGCCGGTCACTCCCTTTAACAAAAATTAATGGTTGAAAAGAAAAATAGCGAGTCGGGTTTTTTTCATTAACGTTGTTGTTTAAATTGAAATTGTTAACTTTTAAAAATTACGGAAAATATTGTTACCAAGACAAACGTTGCATTCTTAGCAGAGTAACTAACGGCTTCCTGAAGTTAACGGCTGTAACTAACTGTTAACTAATTGCCTGAACTTCTGACCCTTTAGCACTGAGTATTGAGTGTGTAATGTCCAGTGTTGTCAGAAACTACTGGAAAACCTTTTTTGGAATTTGTTGAATCACATTGGGAACTCAAATATTGGATGTTTACAGATATATAACACTTAAACGGCTGCCCAACTTTGATTGAAATAAAGAAGGAAATAATTTTCTTTATATTTAAGTTATTTGATCATTTTTAAAAAAAAAGTTTAGAAGCTCTTTTTATTTGTTTTCAAAACCAATGTACTCCCTTCTTACCATAACTTCCTAGACACAGCAAAGATTCAGCTGCGCATTCTGGCAAGCTGGGTAAATACATGAGATCAAGCTGGGTAAATACCTGAGATAAAGCTGGGTAAATACCTGAGATCAAGCTGGGTAAATACCTAAGATCAAGCTGGGTAAATACCTGAAATCAAGCTGGGTAAATACCTGAGATCAAGCTGGGTAAATTGAGATCAAGTTGGATAAATACCTGAGATCAAGCTTGGTAAATACCTGTGATCAAGCTGGGTAAATACCTGTGATCAAGCCGGGTAAATACCTGAGATCAAGCTGGGTAAATACCTGTGATAAAGCTGGGTAAATACCTGTGATCAAGCTGGGTAAATACCTGTGATCAAGCCGGGTAAATACCTGAGATCAAGCTAGGTAAATGCCTGAGGTCAAGCTGGGTAAATACCTGAGATCAAGCTGGGTAAATGCCTGAGATCAAGCTGGATAAATACCTGAGATCAAGCTTGGTAAATACCTGTGATCAAGCTGGGTAAATACCTGTGATCAAGCCGGGTAAATACCTGAGATCAAGCTGGGTAAATACCTGAGATCAAGCTGTGTAAATACCTGTGATCAAGCTGGGTAAATACCTGTGATCAAGCTGGGTAAATACCTGTGATCAAGCCGGGTAAATACCTGAGATCAAGCTGGGTAAATGCGTAAGATCAAGCTGGGTAAATGCCTGAGATCGGGCTGGGTAAATACCTGAGATCAAGCTGGGTAAATACCTGAGATCAAGCTGGGTAAATACCTGAGATATGGGGTTTTCCAGTTACAGTATCTGATGCTCTTTGTGTTGGGCACCTCCTTACCATCTACCAGAAGGGTGAGGTAGTAATATTCCCCACCATTATTCGGCTGGAAATAATTAATCATAAGTAAAAAGTGTCAGACAGAACCCATTTATAAAAGTCAAAGGACAGTTTCTTAAGGTTAATATTTAAGTACAGTAAGAACCAGAAAACTCTGAAGACTTTCAGATACAATTTCTAACTGTAAATAGTCCTAATGACATAAGAAACAGCAGCTGTGCAGTGTAAACAGACCAAATTTACATTATAAGTTATATAATAAGTTACTAGTAAAACTATTTGCTTTGCAACACAAATCAAATACGTTCAGGTATGTTGCGACACTTTTAAGCCGAGATTGTCAAAAATAATATTGACTAACTTTCAGAGTTATAATAAAGTGTCACATTCTTACGAAACTTTTGCATGAAAGAAAAATTAAAATTTTTAAATACTTACAGGTTTAGGGGGCAGATCACATGTGATTTTTTGAGAGTTAGGATCCTGCGGATTCTCGAGCAGGAAGTTCCAGTTGATTGGATTCTGACAGGAAATACTTCCATACTCGTTTGCAAACGAAACCTAAGCAGGAAATTTTAAAATGTCTCTAGAGAAAATTTTTTATGTCAGGTCTATATAAGTTAAACACTTTTTTTGAATTGACAATATAGGTCCTATTCTAACCAGCTTTAACCATAATACATTGGGCGNTTAAGCTCAGTCATAAAGAAGCAAGGCAAAGCATATATCTTTGATTTTTTTCCAATACAAATAAAATCCATTTTTACAAAAAATCCTGTAAATTACTTACAGCGGAACAATGTTATATATGGGGTGGTTGAGTTAAACGATCGATATATGTAATTAGAATTGATATTAAAGCTTTTTTTCAACGGTAGACTTAAAAAATGTTCTACTTTTACAGTAAGGGAGTGAAGACGACTTTCACTTTCCCTTGTGCATAAAGGGTTTCCCAAAACGAATGAGATTTCAGAGACGACTGTCCGGAATTTATATTGTCTGTTTCTTCAAAGATAATATATATATATAGATGAGCTGGCAGGTAGAAACCTCCTGGCTAAACTCATATTTCTACTTCTACGAACAATTTAAACAAGAGACATCTAAAGCAAATTGTTTCATTTCTTTTTCCTTTCTCCCCCTGCGGCCATCTGTAGGAAATAAGCATTTGCGTATTATGAACATACATTACTCGTATTGCATATAGGGTTGTTAAAATCCTTTTTGAAAACGATCCTTTCGTTTTCGGAAAAAAACGATCGTTTTTAAAAACGACCCATTCGTTTTGAACTTATAAACAAATAACGTTAACGATTGTTAACATAATTGTCGATAAAATTTTTTTTTGAAAACGATCGTTTTTATAAAAACGATTTGCGACCGTTTTTTATACGATTATAAAAAACGATCATTTTAGAAAAAAAAAATTTTATTGACAATTATGTTAACAATTGTTAACGAAGAGTCGTCGTTAACGATCGTTAACGAAGGGTTGTCGTTAACTATCGTTAAAGAAACATTAAACTTTAAAAAACGGTCGTTTTTGGAAAACGAGCGTTTAAAAAAAGATACATGCAACTTTATTGAATGTCGTCTTACATGAAATTAAAGAGTTGCATTGTGGGGAAGCTATAACTTGTTGATATTTTCTTAAAAACTACTCAATGATAAGTACAGATGCCCTTCAAGTCGGGTTACCTCTCAATTCGTAATAAAACGTTAACGAAGGGTCGTCGTTAATGATCGTTAACGAAACGACGAGTTTTATAAAAACGATCGTTTTGAAAAACGATCGTTTCAAAAACGACCATTTTTAAAAAAACGAACTTTTTAAAAAACTATCATTTTTAAAAACGATTTTTCGTCGTCGTTTTCATAACGAAACTGGTCCTTAAATTTTATATCCTGTCTAATTCAAGTGTTGGAATCTGAGCTTGGTTGACCAATACAATTAAATTTGTAGGTATAGGGATGTTAACGTTTTCATTTTTTTGAAAACGATCGTTTTGTTATGAAAACGACGATGAAAAATCGAAAGCAAAACGATCGTTTTTGAAAACGATTGAAAAACGAAACAAAAACGATCTTTAACGATCGTTTTTAAAAACGATTAACAAAGTGATAAATCAGCCGCACTCCAGAGGATAAAATGCCATGCATACGACAATTCCTAAAATTTATATTTTTTCGTTCAACTGTAATTTTTCCTTATCATTTAATAGGCCTTATAATTTAATGAAGAGGACTTCATTTAACCTTGGATTCGTCATATCTTAAGAGTTTCACGTTGTCTTTACAGTCTTATTCTTTGTTAGTAACACTGTATGAGATTTCCTTAAGTACCTGATTTCCTTTGGTTGGATCAAACTGACTAAATCCGTCTGTAGCAAACCCATCTCCTAGTATAGTTATAGCTCCTCCCCCGTATCCTATACATCCAGGAGATACTGAGCTCACATAGGCGTCCTGTGCCACAGATCCTAAATAGATTAATTAGGCTTAAACAATAAACATATCTTTAAATATATCTTTAGACTAAGCAAGAATAGGCCGAAAGAGAATTCAGATACTGTACAATTCTGAAATAAGTACAATAAACTCGGTTTCGGGGGCTAAAAACTGGTTTTTCGGTCTGTTTATCTACATAAACTCGGTTTCGGGAGCTATAAACTGAATATAATGGTATAAATGAAACTAAGCTCTAAAAACAAAATGCTGAAAATCAACTTTATTGTTTACTATAACTCACCTCCCAGCAGTAAACTGCCAAACAATAATTTCTTTAATATCATTCCTGAAATATAATTAAATAAAAGTTTTATCACTTTTTAAGTTTTTGATGCTACGGAATATGTTCAAATTCTCAATAACTGAATAATGCAATAGCAAAGGCAATGAGAGAGGTTATATATCAATTTTATTTGAATTTGATTTCGCTCTTTTAGAATAAAATCCAATATTAAGATAAGGTGAAAGTAAGACAAGCCATATGTTAAGTAAAAGTGCATTAGATTTATGAAAACGAAAATGTGGGAGGTACTTAAAAAATTGTGGAATTGAAAGACGATATTTAAGCAATCTAATGTCTTTTTAAAGGCGGTGCTCGCGAAAAATTAAAGGGGGTATAGGCTTACGGCGAAAAACAAGCGCTTTAGATCGCTTCGCTACTAAACTTACTTCTATTTGTTGCGTCTGTAAGGAGAAAATTGTTAAAAACAACTTATACTGAAGAACGTAGCGTCCATACAAATTGAGAAAATTACAACATACGACTTAGACCGTAAATAAAAATCAATTTAATTTCAAACAAATCATTCAGATATTACAACTTATAGCCATCGATTATCTTTCGCCACATTTATATATAGTTGATTTTTCATAATATGTTTTATTTGTTATAATCTGAGAGTTACTTATAAAATCATTTATTCCTGTTTCGAGGATTTTTGGTAATGAAGACGACATTTTAATATTTTCCAGAAATGTTCGAAAACAAGTTGAAAAAACAAAATCAAAACTAGTATGAAATATCAAATATATACAAATGTTCTCCTTATAGACGCAACAGATAGAAATAAGATTAGTAGCGATCAAATGCGCTTTTTTATCGGATTAAGCCTATACCCCCTTTCATTTTTCGCGAACACTCCCTTTAAAGTGGCTGTTGGTGTAATTTCAGATGCGTTAAATTAAAAGAGGAGAATTCTGGATTTTATATCGGTATCATTATTCCACACTGTGACTTGCAGATTTCTTGCAGATGGTAAAACAACTATATCTTCCACATCATTTATCAGATAAAGGCTTAAAGGGTACTTTGTGAATCAGGTGCCTCACATTGAAATGAAGTCACCTAAATATTACAATTTAATTAAATTAAAAGATAAAAATTATCAGTTGCACTGAAATGTTTCAAAAGCTTGTTCAATTGAAATTTAGCTTTGTTCCTTGTAGAGGAACACATATTTTTGATTACAATTTTTTTATCAGAAACAAATCTTTTTGTCAAAGAATAAAGAATTAATATTTTTCTCAGAATTCATTGTTTTTAAATTCAATAAATCTAAAATCCCGACAAAAAATAGGTTTACTGCATTTTAAGTTTTTTCTCTTCAAGATGTCGAAATCTTTGAGAATACAAGGAAACCACTTTGATAATGAATTTAGAATTAGCTAAATGTTTGTTAAGTGCTTTCAGTTTTAGTATAGTTAATTTGATGTGAAAAGTTTTAGAATATTACAATAAAAGACGACATATACTTGTACCTTGTAGTGGAGTGTTCGTCAATGACCTGAACGGAACACTGAAGAGTATCGTAGCTGGAATAGTATTTAACAGAAATCTATTCAGGGAACCCGTAATATAATCGGCCATGTTTATTGATTTTTATCAAAAAGTCTAATTTTCACATAATATTATCACAAAATAAAATTTCTAAATCGTATTTTTCTTCAAATTAAACCAAACAAGGGTCCTTTTTACTTTATTTTTTTTTATCTCATCCAAAATACACGTTTTATTTTATAATAATAAATATTCATAAGTTTATAATTGCCCGTTACTCCCTGTAATTAATATATTGTTTTCCCATAAATATAAAAATCATGCGATATCCATTTCAACAGGATGTCAGGGGATATTCATTGTAAATTGTCATTCTATTGTTCAAATTTAGATCCATGGAAAATTTCCATTTTTATTTGAATCCTCAAAACTTATTTAGCTCTGAGTAAAAGATAATAATTCTTTTCAATTTAGATACCGTACCTAAATAAAAAGATGAAAAAAGCAAATAAAATTTAGCAATTATAGATACTGTGCTTTCTTCATTACTTTTCTGTTTTAAAACACTTTCTCTTGATAATTTCACGTGAAGATTTATTTAAACAAAAAAAACAGATTTTAAGGTTTTAAAATTAGTTTAAAGACAAAAGAAAAAGCTTCTTAAGTCAGGGGGGGGGATAATTAAATTGCAATAATCGAAATTTTGTATCCCCCAGAATTGTTAAGGGAATTTTTCATGTCCAAATAATGACTAGTTTGGGTTGTAGATAATACCAACCTTGAAGATAATACCAACCTTGAAGATTATTATCAAATTAAGTTTCCAACACTTGTTTGACATTTTTAGCAGAATTTAATTGAGGGATATTTTTCAAAATCTTGATGCCCTAAAACTCGAGCGAACAATTTTTAAAATTTCAAAATGCTGTCGAAATTCGGGCCTTTGATGAATATCAGGGGCAGATACAGGGGGAAGGACATTCGCCACCCCCTGACAGATTCAGTCAGGGGCGTAGCCGCCCCTGAATTTGGAATTTTTTGTTCCTATTTTCAGAATAGCTTCTTAATAGCATGCTTAGGGGAAAGAAACCCTAGTGCAAAACAGGAAAAATATCTGTCTTAATAAACAATAATGTGTGAAAAGTTGAAAATCTAGTTTTTTAGTCTTTAGTCAGTAGTTTTGACTCTTTTTGAGTCTTTTAAGTCAAAAAAATTTTCGCCTGCAGCGCGATTTTTTGTTCCTAATTATGAATTATTTTGTTCCTAAAAAATCTTCCCCCCCCCCCTTCACTTAAATCCTGTATCCGCCCCTGATGAATATAACAAAATATTTGGGTTTTTTTTTCAAGCTGAGAAGGAAAAGAAAGTCGAAAGACCGGGCCCTCTAAAATATTGTCCAAAAACTGTTGAATATAAAGACGACGTTACAGCAAAACTGAAGTGTATTGGATATTGTTTCAAAGCACATGGGTCTGTTTACACTGCTTAATTGCTGTATCTCATGCACATTGGACTTGAAAAGGTATTTACTTGAGTTTAAAGGTATTTACTTGAGTTTAAAGGTATTTACTTGAGTTTAAAGGTATTAACTTGAGTTTAAAGGTATTCACTTGAGTTTAAAGGTATTTACTTGAGTTTAAAGGTATTTACTTGAGTTTAAAGGTATTTACTTGAGTTTAAAGTCGACTTCGTATTCCAGAGTATTATGGTCATCGCTGTTAAAGCTGATTCTAAACAGATTTTTTTAGAAATGTGGCCTTTTTATGAATGTATCTAAAATCCATATTTTATGAAAAAATATAACTCGATGTAGGGATCAGCTGATCGATTTGTGAGGTGTGGACTCTTTGGACGAAGTGTTGTTAATCGTTTTAATTAATTTTATAGACTTGTCACTATACTTCACACTAAGTAAATCTGTTAAATATGCTTTTTGATAAAAATATTCGTAATATTTCAATCCTTCAACATAGAACCCTAGATCTGACCCCCACCATTCATAAAACTCCAACTTTTTCAGTTAATCTTTGGTCGAGTTAAAGCAAGGTATCATATTTGAAATCTGTTTATTTGTTTTTGTTTATATATTGTTACTTTTATCATTTAATTCTTTCAAATTTTCAATATCTATTATTCAAATTACTTATTTTGAATGTTTTTTAGAATATGCCCTGAAGATGGTTAAATAAACCGAAAATTTGGGAAAAAAAGTTTTTTTTTTTCACGGATCTGAGAGTGTTAGATTTAGAGGAATTGTATGTATATATATATTTTATAAAAAATCTTCTTTTTGAGTGATTGAGTGAAAAAACTATTATTAATAATCAAAAATAAAGGAAGAACAGGGGCCTGTTCTCTCTTCTTGCGCTCCTATTTTTGTCAATCGCCAATGCTTTTAGTACTCCATCCCTTTTATTGCTCGTTATTTTTATTGAAGATAATACCAACCTTGAAGATAATACCAACCTTGAAGATAATACCAACCTTGAAGATAATACCAACCTTGTTGTAGAATTGATGCCCCCCTGTCCCTTGTGGCAGAATTGATGCCCCCCTGTCCCATGTTGTAAAGGGTGAACCTAAAAAACCACACATAATACAAATTCTTCTCTAATTTTTTAATGCATCATGATTCAAACAGTTTTATTGGATACATTTTAGTGGTTACATATATATTTGAGTATTTGGAAACTTTTAGTAGTCTTACTTCTGGATTTGACGGCCTTCTTTGTCTATAACAGCTTATAGTTGGTGGGGCAGAGATGCCATCAAATGTCTACATAGATCCTTATCATCGTCAATCTCTATCCATGCTGCAATGATGGTTTTCTTCAGCTACTGGTCATTAGAGCATTGAGAGGCTCCAAATAACATCATTCTTTGAGTTTCGGGTAGCAAAAGTAGTGATTTTGGCACTGAAATCAGTATTGATGATCTTTCCCCACTTTTTGTCATTCCTCACTCTTCTCCCAGAAACACTAAGGAACATCCTTGCACACTCCACACGCCTCTCCTTATGCTCATCTGAAATTTTCTGTACCTTATAGTTGTGGTATACCTTATATCCATATTTGTTCATGATTCTTACAACTGATGTTTGAAAGACTCCAACTCTTTTAGAAACAAACAGGGTGCTCCTGCGTACCTTAGTGTTCATTAGTCTCTTCACCTGGGCAATCTTTCATCCTGAAACAGAGGGTCGTCTATTCCCCTTAAGGTGATCAGCACAAAACCCATGCATTGCAAACTTCTTCTTCTGGTAGACAACAAAGCTTCTCAGACTTTCTTTTTTGATTGCATTGAGAGTGTCAAGACCAGGGACTTCACCAATATACAGCCACTTTATTATTTTACCATCACTGGCATGTGGCTTTTTCTGGAGATAGGTCTCTATCTGTGATTTCAAGATGGATTTAAGCTTTTTATCCTTTTTTTCTTGGTAGATCCACTATCAACTGGTCCCAAAATAATAGTTTTGCGGATTTTCATCCATTATTATATGGATTTTCTTAGTAATAATCCAAAAAATCTGTTTTGTGTGGTTTTTTAGGTTCACCCTTTAGTATTATTGCCACCCTGTCCCATGTTGTAGAATTGATGCCCCCCGTCCCATGTTGCAGAATTGATGCCCCCCTGTCCCTTGTTCCAGAATTGATGCCCCCCTGTCCCATGTTGTAGAATTGATACCCCCCTGTACCAAGTTGTAGTATTGATGCCACCCTGTCCCTTGTTGCAGAATTGATGCACCCCTGTCCCTTGTTGCAGAATTGATGCACCCTGTCACATAATGCAGAATTGATGCCCCCCTGTCCCATGTTGTAGAATTGATGCCCCCTGTCCCATGTTGCAGAATTGATGCCC